GACTAGGGTGTACCCCAATTACTCCGATTTGATTAACCCACATTGTATGTATCCTAAAGATATCATGTACCTATAATATTAAGTATTAAAAAATAATTTTTTTTTAATTATAGGGAATTAATTAGGATGATCCTGAGTGTTTCTACAAGACCTGTGTTGGGGAATCACCCACAGGCTTATCATCTGTCAGGTAGCCTGGGTAGAACCTGACGTTTCTGGTAACACAAGACTTCCAAAGGAATCCCCTAATGTACTTATTTTTGGCTGCTTTTTCCTCACAAAAGCCAATGGGCTGAAGAACCAATCCCAACAGATTTTAGTAGCACTAGCTAAATCTCCCATTTGTGTAAAAGATGAAATTCCAAACTTTATCTGACAAGTGAACGTTAAATAAAATCTCAGAGCATTTTATGGAAGAAGTTAATCCACTCTGACCTTGTCCCCTAAAAGGGAGTTTCCAGAATACCAGAAAGCTATTGAGATATATTTTCAAACATCTCAGGAAACTTCAGAAGGAGGTGACAATGGAGCCTACACACTAAGCCTAAGCTGTGACAACAGCCAACACATGAGCAGATCACATGTACACACCCCACACACATATTCAGTTATACACATGTGTACATACCCACAACACACACACGTCTGCAGGTGTATATGTACCTCGACGTGTGGGCATGCACACGGTGTACATACCCAGACTTGTCCACACCCACACGCACATGGGTACAGACACGCACACACACATTCCAAGAGCAAACCACTGCTGTGACTGCTTCATGTTGATTCCTCACTCAACTCAACAAATTTGTGAGGCAGGCCCTATTATTATCCTTATATTCAGATGAGGAAACTGAGGCCTAGGGAGATCACAAACCCAGTGACAGAGCCAGGATTCAAATCCAGCTCTTAGCGCCCACGTTCTACCACTCCCTTTACTCAGAGGCATGATCACAGAAGAATTCCACCTGATAAAGGTGTCCATTCCAGAATAAGCCAGGCAGAGACCACCACCTAAGCTTTAGATTTCTATGTCTAATTCATGATCAAAAAAGCTCCCTTGATGTACAAGACACAGTTTCTTGATCATCTTCGTATTTCACCTTCCTTCCTAAGTCCGGCCCAGTGCCCTAAACATGATAGATCTGTAAATGTTAATGAAATTTTCTCCTCAGCTCCACACTCATACGATATAACTAGTCAAAGCAAACAAAAGGAAATGCCCATGGGAAGGCCTGAAGATTTTCAGTTAAGATTTTTTACCTGGGCAACAAAGATGTACAAAGAAACAGCAAATTACAAAACATCATGGCCACAAGGAGCCACATGCCCAACAAGGGTCACCTTCTCCCAAGAAGCACCCCTAAACCCAGATCCTCAAGGAGAGTTCTGAAGTCTTAACTTCAAATCACCACCAACCAGAGGCCTTCTGACTCCTGACTATCCTACAGACATCTGACTAGGAGGCAGAGTGGTTCAGTAGGAAAAGTCCAATTTATAAAGTCAGACAGCCTTGGATGCAACTTTCTCTACCATTTATAAGTTGTGCGACCTTCAGGTAAGTGACTTAACTTTTCCAAGCTTCAGTGTCCTCATCTGGAAATGAGAATACTCAGACTCACTGTAACAGGGAAGGTATTAAATGACATACACAGATGAAGAGGACAGCACCCCAAACACAGCACGTAGTTGTTATTTTTAGTAGTGTCATTCTGTTATCATAAAGTAGAATTCCTGAAGAACCACAGAACGGTGAATGAAATATACACATCCAAAAGTTTAGGGGATAATTATATCTCCCCTAAAACTTTCATATATAACAACTACCAATCTAAACTACAACAAGTAGTGGGAAGCCAGCCACG